CTGTGTTGTTCACTCAGCATAATGCTCTCTAGTCCCTCCCAAGTTACACAGTATTTTTTTTAATTGTTGCTCCTAAGTGCTGCATAGTATTCCATTGTGTGACTGTACCACAATTTCTCAATCCATTCCATTGTTGTTGGACATCTAGGCTATTTCCTTGTTTTTGTGATGATGAATAGCACTGTTATGAATAAATCTCTGTGTACAAATCTCTATGTCTCAGTTCTGGTTTCTTTGGGGTATACACCTGGTAGTGGAATAACTGGGTATTACAGAGTTTCTATAGTCAACCTTTTGAGGAGACATCATTCAGACTGCCTTTCAGAGTGGATACATCATTTTCTAATTCCCCCAACAGTGTATGAAAGTTCTTACGTCTCCACATCTTCTCCAACATGTATTGCTTGCTTAGGACATGTTTTGCATTTATATTATGTCATAACCTAGACTAGTCAAATGGTCTAGCGCATGGAGCTGCTGTAGGTCAGATGCTCAAAGTCTTTCAGGCTTAGCAGAGCCATGATCTAATACAATGGAGGAGATTGAGCCTGGGGGAAAGAAGCAACGTGTCCCTCTACAAAAGCCTTCACACTTACCCAAAGCCTTTTGGTCCCTTCATTACCTTGACATCATCCATAGGGAGTTGCACTGCTGACTCAAAGGCCATACCATGCTTCACTGGTAGTTCAAATCCACCAGAAGGAGAAAGATGAACAATCTCCTCTATGCAATTTATAGTCTCAGAAATTCAGTGGAGGGTCTCCATGAGTAACTTCTGACTGAGAATAATGAGTGCGCTTTCTCTTTACCACTACTGGGGAGACGAGGAGCAGAGTCACTAGTTACATGTCCTGTGCCACCCTAGAGATGGAAGTAAATTCTTCCATTCAACAATACCCTTTAAGAGCAGTGTGGCCTTGGTCAAGTCACCTAAGCTCTCTGAAACTGGGTTTTCTCATGTGAACAATGACAATATCTACTTAAAGGGAGAATATTTAAAATTTAAAGATATACCTTAACCTCAGTGCCACCAAGTCAGTTCCAACTCATCAATCCATTTTGGTTGGCAGTCTGACATGTTACCCTCCTAAATTATTATCACTCACTCATTCATTGCTGTCAAGTCAGAACCAACCTACAGTGGGTTTTCAAAGGCTGTGAATCTCATGGGAGGAGATTACCCATCTCTTTTATGAGAAGCTAATGGTAGATGTGAACTACCTTTAGGTTAGCACGGCAACTCCCTACACCACTAGAGCTCCCTTAAGTTCTTGTATAATATCTAATTACTGTTGTATTTGTTGACATTGTTGTTACTGTTACCATTGTTGTTGTTGCTTTGTGCCATTGAGTCACATGCAACTCATAGCAACAGCCCTAAATTCTGCTCTATCTTGTGCCAATCTCACTGTCTCCGACACAACTACCCCCATAACTCCAGTCACTGAATCAATCCATCTCATTGGGGGTCTTCCTCTCCTGCGCTGTCCCTCCACCCTCCCAAACATGATGTCCCTTTCTAAGGACTGGTCCCTCCTTGTAACATGCCCAAAGTATGTCAAAGCTTCAGAATCCTTGCCTCCAAGGAGCAGCCTGGTCTCACTCTCTCTAGGATGAACCTGTTTGTTCTCCTACCAGTCCATGGTATATTCAATAGTCTTACTATTGACAAATTCAAATCTCACTCAGTCTTGTCTTGAATGTCTTACAGAAATGGAAGTTGAAATCAGATTCACTGCCTCCAAGAGAAGAGATTAGGAAAAAGGCAACCGAAGTGATCAGTCATGTCCTTTGCAGTTGAAAAGAAATTCTTCCTTCCTTGCTCTTTATTTACAT